ATGCCCAGTCAGAGCAGAACAGTAGGACGTTAAATACAATTTCTTCATCGAAATTCAACTGTTAAGGATTGTTTTATGTGCACGCTAATGTGTACACAAGAGCTTGTTTTTTGTCCCGTCTACACACTGCACTTTGCCAGGCCCTTTGTCCTGCACTACCGACAGGGAGAAACCACGCTGCAAAATCCCGGGAAGTTTCTTGACCAACACCAGGATCAGTGTATATAATCATAGTATTGAGAGGAATATGGCCGATAACCCGAAACTACGACATTTTTACGCGAATAGAAAAAAAAAATATGTATGGGAAAACAAATAAATCTGGCCGAAACGTCCTCTTTCTTTTAAATAATAGTGGCGAAATGTCCTAGTCCGAATGTTCATTGGCCGAAACGTCCTACATTCGTCTACTTTACCTTCTGTCGACCTTTTTCTAATATACAGGTTCGATTTTCTCATTGGAATTGGTCATTTCAAACGCTTATTTGACTTTTTGCATAGTGCTGGCTGTGCTGCAAATTAATAATTAAAGAACAGAAATAATTAGGATGCAACTAGGGACCGTGCAGTGGGCTTTTTGTGCAGGGAGGGACAGCACTAGAAATCGTGTAGGCTTGAAAGCTAGATAAAAGGTATAGATAAAATATTTGGCGGGGGACCACGGCGAATTGTTTTATAGTGTATCGTTACTAGTCCCGAAATGCCCTAGGTCCATGGGCGTTACAACCTCTTCCTACTTTATAGCTCGTTTCTTTTGTCATTGGTGTTGAAGGCCCTAAAATAAATATATAACATATGTTAGTCCCAAATGCCCCAGCTATGTGGACGTTATAAACTACACAAGCTGATTCATGTTCTTGTTAGCATAATGCTCTCTGTTATCGTCAGCCCTCCCCCATTTTTAATCGGATTTATTTAAGTTATTCTAATATTCAAATATATATTTAACACTTTACTTACCTATACTTACCTATGTCTATCAATATTTACATGTGAAATTGACTATCTGTGAACATATTCTGTGTTGTAAATTTAAATTGCTACTGTATCAAAATATGGTTTAAATAACATCTATAATAGTTATATAAATATTGACAATCTACCAAGATAAAAATATAACAATTTACATTGATACATTGAAGACAACTGTCAATATTAGATGAGTAGATTAATATCATATTAATATCATAAATAATAATATCACTCGAAACAAAAAAAAACTTATTAAATTAAATCATTTCGACTGTCCCTTTAAAATCGCTGATCGTCTTTTGTGTTATTCCGACTATAGCTAATTTTTCATGACTTTATTTATGCTATGCTAAAAACTGGGTAAACTTTAAGACAATACAAAGAGAGAGAGAGAGAAATGGGGTTTAACGTCCACTCGACACAAACTAGGTCATTTCGGGACTAACATATGGTTTAATTTTATTTACATAATTCGCTTGCGCGTAGGGGTCTTTAGCAGTGGGAGGAAACCAGAGGACCCAGAGAAAACCCACGAGGTTGGACAGGCGACCCTACTCCTTGCCACGTACAACCGGGGATTCGAAACCACGCCAGTCGACTCAATGACAGACTGTATGATACAGCGCGCGCACGCTAACCATTCAGCCATCCAACCCCCCTAAGACAATACAAACATTGCAAGCAACAGGCCTCTACTTCATAGAGCCGCTGTTTATTTAATTCCGAAACGAACAGATTAGCGTACATATAATAGGGTATAATATAATTATAATATGGATCTGAGGAAACTACTTCTTATTTCCCACGCCAAAGTTTACTAGAGAAATAACAGCAAATATCTCGTTTAATAATAGTTAAGGCCGGCTAGTCTAAATACTACCGACAAGTACTCAAGTAGGAAAATGATATGATACACTCTGCCATCGAAAAGTAATACTCGACCTTTAAAATAAATTTACATAATTACGCCGAACACAGGAGTATTGACTTGATATACCATAAGACGGTAATTTTCACACGGTATCGAACACTGTATTATAAAGGTGTTAGAGTTCAACAATTAATTCTCTTCAAGTGTATGTACATTCAATATTATTTATTTAATCGTCTATCTATTCATTTGAGTGTGGAATATAAACGCACTGACAAAAGCAACGCCTCATTTAACCTTCAAAATTTATGGTTTTCGTAGAGTGTCTCTCTCCATTGCCAACTACGCCACTTACTACCAATATTCCGAGTGATTTCTGCCTTTTCGACCCATTCGACTCGTGATACACACGAAATGAAATGGAAATGGAGTTTAACGTCCTACTGTTCTGCTCCTGCGTGATACACACACCCCTTGTCATGTTGGTGGGAATCGGCTTTAAGAATAAGGGAAAGTATTACCAACCTATGCCAGTGCAACCTCTATCCCTATAACAAGAGTTCAGCCTATAACCATTGCGGCCTAGCAGACCATTTAGTAGGAAAAGCCGCTGTGCGGGCAAAACTTCCCTTAAGCTCGATTGGGGCAAAAGAACTGACGTGCTATCCAATTACATTGAGACTTTTATTTTGTTGGGGGCGGGGGTGGGGGGTGCCGAATGGTTGGCACGTGCGCGCTGCGCTGTATCATACGGCCTGTCATTGAGTCAACTGACGGGGTTTCTATTCCCCGGTTGTACGTGACAAGGAGTAGGGTCGTCTGTCCAACCTCGTGGGTTTTCTCCGGGTCCTCCGTGTGTTAGTCCCAAAATGGCCTAGATTGTGTCGAGTGGACGTTAAACCTCATCTCTCTCTCTCTCTCTCTCTCTCTCTCTTTATTTTGTTGTGTCTATCGTGGTTTAAATCTTGCATACAAGTTGAAATTTTGACATATTTCAACTAAAACGCCATTGAACTAATTAGCCGAAGTGTATTGTGGTATCAAGAAATGAAATGGGGCTTAACCTCCGAATTTTTTTCATACCGACTGGGCTAATCAAGACAGGTACTGCGATATCAATGTTATTGTTCATATCATGTATCAAAGTCAGTTTACTACAATATGAATTGTTTAAATATAATACATGATTAGATTTCTATTATAATGGTTGAACAAGTCTGAGAAATAACGTACAATCGTCAGTAGAACGTGACGTAACAAAAGATGTATTGGCTTACTGAATTGAGGTAGAATAAAACCTCATTAGCATATTTTTTCATACATAAATTACGGTTGTGGTTAACGTTATTAATACATAAACATAATAAATAATGATCAAAATTTATATGAGAGCAAGGCAATATGTCAACTTGAATAAAACATTTGTTCACTGCAACTGAGGTTGTCTAAATTGTTTAAGTAATTGAACTGGAATGTATTGCGTGATAATGACTATAGAGAAGCCTAGTCGAAACCGAAACGTCGCTCAGTTATAATCAGCAATTGTATTCCATAGAATGTGACCTGTATACATTTGTCTACTAGTAAGGTTCATATCCCGGAGAAACTTTTTTAAAACAGAAAACAGAACCCATATACAGATTTAAAGTTTTATTTCTCTTTGAGAAAAACATCAGCATGATGTAAAATTAATTTACAAATAAAATAATATCTACAAAATATGTACAATAACAATTAACAACAACAATAATAAAATAAATTTCATATCTTTATACAAAATAAACATACAATAAATTTCATATCTTTATACAAAATAAACATACAAAAAAGTCTGAATTTAATCTGTCTGTTTATATTGTTGATACTGCACCCATAAAAGGGTGCCGCTGGGGGGCAGGTTGAGAAGCGGGACAGTTCTCTAGTGTTTCCTCTTAAAAGAAATATTGTTATATTTTTATGTTGTGGAATGATGTTCGAAATCGACATTAAGAAATACAAAGAGGCTGATTGACAGGTCATGAATAAGGTAACACTTATATTGTAACTGATATTATGTCATGGGAAAAAAATCTACAACAATTTAAAACGATTCTTGGATAAAACTGTCAAAAAGCGAAATTGTATAACTGAATTATATAAATGAAATAAGATTTGATAGTAAAGAAAAAAAGAGTACCACAGTATGCGTTTGATGAACACAGACATTCTTGTGGTAGATAAAGAGATATACAATAGGTTATATATATATTTTTCAACATTGAGACGAATCACATTCTTCTGTTCACCGGATTTCATATAATTTCATTGATGGATCATCACAGTAGTGTCAGCAATTTGATTGGCTAATGACATGTACACGACACTGTACGAATCAAAGAAACAGAATACAACGGAGACATTAATAGTTTGTCTGCAATATCACTTTCGGCGGAAGCGGGCGTTAAACCCCACGAGGGAACGACAACCGGGACAGAATAGTCCTATAATGTTATACGTCACGGCACAACCGATATCAAACCATGACAAATGTTCTCCTTCCACATAGATGACATTTTGGAAAGTAAGAGATCAAGTCACATGCTCAGTCTATATGGATTCTTCTGTTAAATCCTTCCATACTGCGCAAGGTGTGATTTATACTCGCACTGAACGCTTTCCATTTAATAACTTCTGTATCACCGGGCTACAAAGTACTGCTTTAGGTTGTATTTTATGTTGTAAAGTATTCCGCACTGCACCACATTTTGCATTTCGGAATTGCGTCATATCGTGCTACTTGCGCTCTTCACTTGTCAAATGTCAAGCATGGCATCGGGATTTTTCAGTGAGGAAGGGTGCGATTGTGGCACAATCACCGAAAGCAGTGAATACTTATATCGGAGTAATGGAATTATAGTTCCTTATTGGTCTGTATTATCATTAAATAAATATATTCAACTAACGGAGCATTCCAAGGTTCCAGATTCCTTCGCTGATTTTAGAATCCTTAACCAATGTTCATAAAATGGTGCGCAAGTTAATGTAGGGTGACCTAGTCTCGATCGACCAGTAAATAAAAATACTCCAGGTCCTTTCCGTATATCACAGTGGACAGGAGCGAATATATGGCCTTCAAGTTTTCCAGTGTCTTTGTTAAATTCGCCATCTTTCTGTCGAATAACCTCGTCTACATCTATTGTTATCCGTGTTTTGCCTAATTCGGATTGGTCAGTAACCTTCATCATACTACCGATAACAACTGAAAAATAAAAACAAGAAGTCAATTAACATGTTTTGAGTCATAATCTTTGGGTTGTTTTTTTTTAGAGACTGAGCACAATAAAACAGTCAACATTTATAATTATGGAACCCAATGATGTAGATTTATCGTGTCCGAAAAAGTTTGATGGACAAACATAAGGAAGACCAAACAGCTCTCTATTCAGTGTTCTTAGTTCAAATATTTATTTTAAGATATAGATGTTAATTTTTGTGTAAAAATGTCCAAATACGACAACAAATGAAGAAAAAAAGAATTAATGACTATCAATTAAGAACTGATTAAGAACACTGAATAAAGAGCTGTTTGGTCTTCCATACAAACAGACAGAAGAATGAAACATTTTAATAATCGCCTGCTTTCTTCTAAATTTAGTCAAAACAGACATAACTTTTGTTCAAAAGACCACAGGTTAGTCATACATGTAATTCAGATGATGGTTGCAATGAAATGAATAGTGGGGTTCTCAAACCCTGTCAATATTCGTCAGTATAAAATTCTCAAACCAATTCTAAATCTTAATAGTTAAAATAGTTGATAAATCAACAATGACGGGGCCAGTAGCAGTAATAACCCTTCTAGTGTAGGTTATTAACACGTTAAGTGTTTGATCTTACCGACAACAAGTAATTTATAGTAGTAATATAACTATATTAGACCGCCATGCCATTAGATCTTATCTCTATTCCCTTGTCTGAATGAACCACGGTGCTAGTTTTATTGTAAATAATAATCATGTTAAACAAATGTGAAACATGCTATTGTAAATTAACCTTGATTTTTATATTGTGTGATTTAGAGACAAGGAATAAATTATTGTGAAGTAGACTGGAGGGGTAAACTAAAAATTGGCTGGCCCGTCAGGGACCAAGTGAAGGGGGCGCAATGACGCACTTTGCGTAATGTTTTACTGGGTGTCAGATATGCTTAAAGTCGAGTCTATCATGTTCCACACAGCTCAAGGAAAGGGACACCCCGCCCGACCCCTAACGATGTGAATATTGAGTTTTAGTGACCTAGCGGGATCTTGCTCCTTATGCAAAATCATTGATCACCACGACCATGTTGCCCTGACACATTTGGTTATGTGCTGGATAATGTTGTTAATTTGAGTTTTTTTTCTTATTAATTTCCAACAACGATGGGCTGTCCAGTAGTGCTAATGAAACATTCATCATTAATATAAACCAATTTAATGATACAGTAAAGTTTGTCCCTTATCAAAGTAATTTACGCATAGATATGACTATTGTTCAAACCGAGAAGAACAACTAGTAAAGAACACGTGGTTCTTCTTTATGACCATTTTACAAGCTTTCATGTTGCCGGCCATCTTAATTACAAGGTCAAGGGCTGTCATGGGTGACAGTTCCAGTTAAATACAACATGGCGGCGCCTGTGATGTTTCTTGTGGGTTTTGTTTTGGTCTTTCAATCCGTGACGATTTTAATGTTCTATCATCTCATTTAGCTTTAGACATCTTTATCTATGGCTGAGTGATTATACCGAATGAACGAAATACATGTACGTTTAACAATTAGGGTAGAAATTGAAAAAGTAGAATTGAGAGATGAACTAATAAGATTTTCAACATGCATGTTTCGTTTGATCTTGGAATAAGGAGTTTCTTCACTCTTCTCACATGGTATTTGTATTAATACATGAACATATTATTATATCTTTCTGTATTTCAAATATTTATACAATATCGAATTGCTATATTAATGTACACTGTAGTTATTAGTTTAAATTATCATATTGAATCAACAGATGAATAGGCTATTCTATAAATGTATAAATAATCACGCCCGTGTTACTTATTCAGCGTCATGTTTCTATTTATGCAAGTAGCCCTTTTAGTCAGCCATTGATAGGACCCCTAATCTTCTAATTGCACTTCTATTGATATAAATAACAGATGATCAAGTTGCAAATATAACGAATTACATTTTAATCGGCTTGAGTATGGCGATATAATCGCAAATCATTCCTGGTCGGTGTTTTATCGTTTATAATGATGGATTCTGGTTGAAATAGATCAGTTGACATTGTCATGAGTAGCAATTTTATCCGTAAAAACTAACCAGGGAAATTATCTGATTTAAAAGTATGTAATTTTATATTCACAGGGATTGATTCTGGACGATATAAAGAGAAATAATTGATGTTCAGTTCTATGATTCATAGAATTAGCAAACTAAAAGTTTCGTTTCCGTTTCGATCTTTGGTTTGTTAGAAAACCCAGATTCTTAATATGACGTGCGCTATATTTAAAAACGTTGGATTCCATCGGATTAAAAAGAGGTTTGTCAAAATATTTAAACCAACACCGGCATAGGATGTCCAATGTTAAAATTGTTTCACTCAATTATTTGTAAATGCTAAACGAAACGAGTGAATTTTGGACTGATTTTCTATTAGGGATTTCACGTTCATAATGTTGTCCACCAAATGACTACCAGTGGCTTTGATCAGTTAACGTTTAATATTAAGCAAGATTCTTGGCTATTTGGTACCAAAAATCAAAACATAAGTTAAGTAATATTTATTATGTTACTATCGCGCAAACATAATAATATTTGGCCAAACATACGATCTAGTATCCAAATGTTATAGAGGGTTTTTTTATATTATTGTAAAATCGATTTTAGTTATTATTGGATTGAAAAACCTGTTTACACCTTGATAGCCCAAAGATGTTGCATTACGTGTATAACTCTAAAATCGTATAATAAAAGTGTCACATTTCACACTGTGCGTTTTATTTTTAAATAATCTGTTATTAAAAACTGGACAACATTGACGTTACGGTTTTCATGAGCAATAACATAGATACCCCAGGATATGACGCGGGGCTAATATTGCCCTGGGTCACATTAGAAAGGGATGAGAAAGCAAATCAAGTTTGCAGATCTACTTAACCGCGAACAACACATTTAATTACAGAACGACGCCATCTTAAAACCGTATGTCAATAATTGTAGAATTTCCTCCCCTTTTCTTTTAAAGCGGATTATGCAATATTTCATTGAATACAACCCATAAAGACGCCGACCAACACCACCATTTTGCTATGTTATTTCTTTTTCATTATTAAAGACTTGGTTTTGTTTATTCGGAGCCTCCTCTGTGTCTCCGAGAGTTCACCGTTTTATTGACAGTAAGGTTTAAAATTAATTTGTTTTAAACGTACGTATGGTTTCATAGGAATAAAAGGTTGTCAATTTCAACGACTGTGGCAGATTTATAACTATATACCATAAGTCTAATGACGACTTAAATAGTGTGCTAGACATAGTTCTGGAATACAACCTTATTAAACACAATGTAATTTACATATATAACGACGGATGTGTCCGCCCTATAACGTTCTAGGAAAGTGATTTTGGCATGAAAATAGGATATATTCGCGTCACTTTCTTTATAGACAAAGTCTAATGTAAAAGCTTATTCATTACATGTGATGATTAGATTAAAATACTTACCAAACTCGCTACTACAAAACGACTTTAACAGCTCTTCATCATCACATGGTCGACAATCTAGAAGAAAGAAAAAAACCATTGAATGGATTATATTGCAAATTATTTTATACATTGAACTAATTGAATACTATTGACAAAATAATTAATATTCACGAAATTGAATATAAAATGTGGACATTTTAAAAACCAATAATGTGGCTGATATATCAGTGTCGTAATATATAGATGAAATGTATAGCCAGCCATTGGTCCTCGTGTTTTCCGAAACAATACCCAGTTAGTCCCGAAAGGGCAAAAGTAAACATATAATTTATTACATTTATTTTGTTACTAGGCAGCTGCCGTCAACCCTGTTTCCGAGACACAATGATTTAATTACCTTTTTAAAAGTTTAAATCATAAATTCTTGTGGTTTAATGACAAGATCTTAAATTTAATGGTCTATTAAATATCTATTAGATCAAAGCTTCGTACTTTACATGATCATATTTAATGACCACCTTAACCCATCTTCAACTATCGAGCCATATTGGTGGTGATGGTTTATTGACACAACTAAAATACTGTTGAGATTTCGCGTCTTAACATGGATGCCCTGGGCCAGTTAAGTAATCCGTATGTTATAAAGTGGATTATATCAAATCCGGAAAGATATTGTTGTATGACGAATCCATAAAAGAGTATGTGTGTAGCCATAATCCGAAAACAGTCGGATCTAAGTCGTGGCACGGATTGGTTGCTTACTGCTAATACAAGGAGAAGCAGAACCTGTCCCCAGCCTGTCTGTCCATTCAATGCATTCATTATTTTGAATTCTATAATTTTAATTCTGTGTGTGAGTGCATTTGCTTAAATAGCAATACTAATGAGGCAAGAACTGTAGTCTGGCAATTATTAACACTTAAAGAATTGATTTGAATTAAATTGGAGAAAGAATGCAAGATTTTAACCTTTGTGATATTGTTCAAATTGTGAAAAACCCACAGGTAGTCACTGAATGCTATACACACAATGCCAACACAGAAATTCAAGAAGGGGTCGGACAGGGAATTGAGATGAAATGACACAGGGGCGGTAACTCCGTCGAAGGTCAAGTAGGGGTCAGCTACTGACCACCTTTATCCGTCACTGATGAAGCACCGGGTATTGTTATTCTGGACAAAAGACTCAAGCCACAATATTTAATTAGAGGTTTAACCTGGATGGTGCTGCTTAAGCCTTGGAATAATATTTGACAAATCTGAACTGTTCATCAGTCCACAGATCAGACTATAAGTCAAATTTTTAACGCTAACAAGATGTTCTAGAAAAGCGGTCAATGCAGCTTTCAAAGTTATATCCGATTTTGTGTCACAATAAATACTGGGATAGAGCTCTGTTGTTTAAACTTGCACGTTATAGCCTAAAAGATCTGGTGTTAGAAAGACGGAAAATAACGGCGAATGGAACTGTTGACAATTTCGCATAATATATATTTTCATAAAAGAAGATAAATACATAACTTTAACGGATGCCCTGAGAATAAATAACGGTAAAAATATTCAATTAAAACACTATTTATGGATAACTATTACTGTAGTTTCAACAAGACTTTGTTATCAAAAACATATTCGTCATTGAGTCGACTGGCGTGGTTTCGAATCCCCGGTTGTACGTGGCAAGGAGTAGGGTCGCCTGTCCAACCTCGTGGGTTTTCTCCGGGTCCTCCGGTTTCCTCCCACTGCTAAAGACCCCTACGCGCAAGCGAATTATGTAAATAAAATTAAACCATACGTTAGTCCCGAAATGACCTAGTTTGTGTCGAGTGGACGTTAAACCCCATTTCTCTCTCTCTCTCAAACACATATTCATATCTCCATATACAACAAATTATAGTCAGTAGAGGTGTCTAAGATAAGATATATATATAATCGATGAGTAGTTCGCATAGCTTATAACATATTGATGTTCTACTTTATATGATATTATGGTGTATCCGTATCATTCCGCAAGATAATTCAATATGTTCCCCATATTCTTTTGTTAAATGTTTAAGATCAACACAAGGTCACAGTGTGGTTAAGTCGACTGGGTCAAACCATGCATTGTCAAGAGATCAAGTGACCGCATGTTGTTTTTTAAATGAAAAGACCAACCAAGTAAAGGTACATGTATGGTGTCCCAAGTGCACTCCTATTAAAATGTTTTATACCTGGTATATATAATGGCGATTTATTGTCGTAATATGTTGTTCAAATCTGGTTAACAATGTTGTCTCACGCGCTAAATAATATTTAACTGCCATTGCACACGTTACTTCAGTTGTTTGATTTTGTATTATGTTCATCTTTCAACATAGCATTAGTTTCCCATTTGACGTGATGTTACCTACTCAATTGTTTTAATAAAATACGCTTTACTGATTTTATTTTAAACAGTTTGAACATCATCATTTATTAGAAATTTAATAACCCAAATTTAAGCCTATGATAATTTCTTACTTAATGAGATTTGCTACCATATGTTGCAGAAAGAGAAAACAATATTAGAATATGTTTCATATTAAGAGTTTGATACATTATAATTTACTCATGGTTCATGCACTAAATGTTATTTTTATGCCATTTACAGAAATTTATTCAAATGAATTACCAATTACGATCAGGGAGGCGGGGCAGTATTTTATACAGAAATGATAGATCTCAGGTGTTCTATTCAGCAGGAAAATGGATGAATAATCATTCTTCATTCAGGTAAAAGATTAATTGAGAAAAGCGAAATCAGAACGATGAAGAATCTTTTGACTGTTATTAAAAACACCACAGGGCGTTGTGCACGTGGTGTTACAATTCTAAAGAACATTATCTATTTTTAGGCGTCATCTGTGAAGAGGTCAGCATAGTAATAAATTGACCTATTCTGTGGTCATTTTGTTTTGACGGGTCTCACTGACCCTTGACATGAGCTAAAACTGACCCCTATTGTACTCATCCTGGATACAGTGATATTGACAAGCTACATGCAACTGCGAAAGGGTTTAATTATTTATGGACATGTAAATTAGGGGTCTGGTGTATAAGAGCTCCATTTATCCACAAAAGGTTAGAAGGAAAAAAACTGTACACTACAATGTCTAGAAGTCTAATTATTTGTATAAAATACATGTTCAGGGAGACTCAAGCAACGACAAAATTCGCTGAGGGATACCTTATGCAATTCACGGACGACCTACATTTATAGAACACAACCATATATGTTACGTTTTATTTACATGTCCTCATTGATCTGAACATTATATGTAATTGCAAATACCTATAGAATTGCCATATAAGTGTTACTAATCTCTTGAATACTGGGTGTTGAAGTGGTCTTTCAGTGGGGGACGGGACGGGGGGGGGGGATCCGAAATCCACATGTGTATGCACATTAGTGTGCTTGAAAGAGAAGTCAGTAACGCCGATATCTATACAAAAATTTCCTCCCTGGCATTGTTCCTGATTCCCCGACTCTTAAATACTCTGTCGTTCCGCGGTGGGCCGTGAAGTTTTTCGATTGGGAGAAAAAAAAAAAAAAATCCACATGTGAATGACGTGTGCGACAAAAGGAGAAGCTAGAAATTATTTTCCGTTTTCGTTGAGTTCTTCTGATGGATCTTTCCACAGGTAAAGGATGACATTTTGTTATAAATCGAGGACCTGTGTACATGTTGGCGTGCACGTAAAGATGTGCTGACAGTTGGAAATCGGTGCAATGTGGGCGGAAATACCGCTATCCCTCGGACAAAATTTCCCCTAGAGCTGTAACGTCTTCATTATCCCGGTTGGTACAGAAAAGTAGGACATTAAAACCCCATTTCATTTCTTTATTACCGACTCCGACTAAATATGAAATATTTGAACAGTAAACTTCGAATATCCCCTTTATAGATATCATGAAATATATACTTAGTCTTATATTAAACAGCATCTTGGGGGGGGGGGGTATTCATTTAGTCAAGTGGCGTGGTTTCGATTATATTCCCCACTTGAACGTGACAAGGAGTAAGACCGCCCGTCCAACCTCGTGGGTTTTTTTCCGGGTCCTCCCACTGTTAAAGACCCCTACGCGCAAGCGATTTATTTAAATAAATTTGATCCATATGTTAGTCCCGTTAAATCACATTTCTCTCTCTTTTCAAGACCCAGACTTGATATCGGTTCGATGCATTTGAAAGTGTGTATGAATAACCCCACGACGGGCGAAAAGTACTTTAAAATGTTATTAAACCAGTGTTGAAATCAGTTTGTATCGGTACATATTATCTTTTCATCGTTTACCGTTGTGCTAATATTTTGGGATATATAGCTTCTTACTGGCTAACCTCTTGTCATTTATTTTTTACAAATGCATTAAACAACCTATCCCATATTGAAACCCTAAATTAAACTAAATAATAGGGACCTGGGTATGAATCATTCATATCAGTATATTACGGTATAAATTCCAAGCCCCTTTGTAATATTGTACGCAACTCTTTACTGAAGCTAGTCTGCGCTATCAAGTGTTAAGTGTAGTTGTTCATGTGGGAGTGAAGGGATTTAAAGGAGTTATTAAGAGTTTTTATGGATATCTGTGTAACACCTGCAAGCAACTACTCAATAACAAATATCTTAAGTATTGTTCAGATTTTAAAGCATTTCCGTGCACGATAAGCTTCCATAATGACTGTGGTATTATGATATAAAAGATGAATACCAAGATGTATTTTAATAAAACTCTTACTAACTATTTACTTCCCTGATGAAAAATGTACTATAAATAAATAATTCAGATTTATGTTAGATTACATGTAGATTGATAACAAACAATTCCATGATTTCTCAGAATCTGCGTAAAATAGTTGGGTTATAGAAATTATGTCCCTGGGAATAAAACGGAAATCGGCTGAAGACAAAATTATTGATGCCCAGTAAGATTCTGTATTGTGTTTAATGTATTACATGCATGTATGTTGTTTTTTTTTTCAGCTAAATGTATTATGTGTGCGTATTCATGCTGTAACCAATCATGCAAAGTCTTAGGTATTATGGAACCCAATCATCTTGTGCTTGAAAACGATAAGAGAATACTTGTCGAAACGTCGCACCAGTGATTGTATTCCATAAAAATGATCTTTATGTTTTTAATGTGTTTTAATCTATGTATATTTTGCGGTATTAAAGTAAACAGAAATGGTCGTTAAATATCAGACCGGTGGATGTCTTGCAAGAGGCAATCAGTGGTAACACTTTCCGGGACAGGTCTTTGCATTATGAGATTATACAATGTATTTCACAATCTGATGTACTGTGGTTCGATTTTTTTTTCAAATTATTCCATCGCTCTTGTATAATAGCTTGTGTACTGTTCATTAAGTACTGCTTTCTTATATTGAAAACAGATCAGGTCAATGACTATAGGTTCTAAGAGGGCGATTCTGTTTGTTGTGTAAGAAATCACAGGAGTATGCACCTGATTGTTATTTCAATAATTCAGTCAACTTTCACTTGTGGGTGAGATTTAGTTGAGTATTGAATTTGGTGTCTCAAGCAATAAGAATACAATAAATTAAGCTGTGTACATACCTTCCATGGGACCGGGTTGCGCCAAGCTCGTTAAAATTTCTAAATCATAATAGATAGTAACCCTGGATAATCCAGAATTCATTGTAGTAGCTTCTATCTCCATGTACAGCAAGACGGAATTTTCCGAAGACGTCACACAGTATTCTTTGCCTTGGCCGACAGCGATAAACCATGGTTGTAGCGACATTTTGTTTTCTAAAGTTTGTCTTCTGTAATTTGAAACGGTGTCTGTAGACAATTCCCTGGAAACTAAAGTCGTCACACTTTCACTGTTGACAAGAATACAGGCTTTAAATTCTCCTGGTATAGACGGTTTTAGATCTAGGCGTATAGCATTAGTCGGGTTCATCCACGTCACCTTGCCTTCCTGGCAACTTGGTTTCACGTTGGTGTTGGCTCGCTCGTCATAGACATTGTCCCTAAAAAGAAAGAAATAAGGTATTCCATTGTAGAGCGGTACTCTTTCCAATCGAAAGACTTGTTATGCTACGAATGAAATGAAATGAGGTATAACGTCCAAAAGATTGAAAGGTATGCTCCATTCTCCAATATAATAATTAATGAATGCTAATCAATAACCTTATTATTTTCAAATCACCTTTTCTGTAAAACACAGATACATGTACGCATATAACAATGTCATGTTCTCTATTTTGTATCAAATTTATATAATACAATTTTTTTTGTGGAAACTCAGATGTATTATATTGTTTTGAACAGGTGACTCACAAACGAAGAGTTGTTGTGAAATTAGCTTCTAGCCCCAGGGATGTGCAGATGTAAAACAAAATTTAAGGAAATACAATGTTATGAAATGTGACACTCGACAATCATCACGGTATCTTAATCCTTGGGATATCCCCCCTCATTACACGCCATTGACATCACCAGGGGAAATTCCCCTCAAGGGTTAAATTAATTAGGATGTACTAATCATTTCTTAATTAGAATGATAACGTTATTTCATGTGACGTCATTATTACACCTGGCAAAAAAGTTCTATATCACCAAATCGCTGCATGAATTTAACAGGATTATCGCCCCCTGTTTTATCAATAATCACAGTGATGTAATCACTAGCAAATATATCAATAATATGTTCAAAATAGTGATGCAATAATCGCTTAGTAACTATCGGTCATAATGGTTTAACAGATACGCGACGGAAAAGGGGGTGAACAGGACGATTAGATTACTAATTGATGTGGCAAGGGTTAATGAGATTTTACTATGACATCAGTTTGTTTTTGTGGATCACCGAGATTAAAGGTAATGATTTCCGGAATGATTCTTGAGCAGAAAAACTCGTGTTTTCGTGAATAAATGCCCAAGACATTTTCGGACAGAAAACACCAAGATTATGTTTAATAAAACAAAATTGTTTTTTTTTTCATTGTTCATGATATAATGAAAGTGTGGGTTGTAATCCATTTCTTGACAATTACAAACTTGTTCTCTGTACCTTGGCAATATAAGGAATATTTTAAGCTTGAGCTCTGCATTATCTGATGACAAAATGCTAAGGAAACTACATGTACATGGTGTTAATTGTAATTTTTAAAGGTCGATCAGTACACTAATACTATTTCATCAATGTAATTCCATAACTGTACTTGATCGCTCGAAGGACTGTCAACAGACTAGTTAATCACATCTATGGAACTGTTTTGACAGATTGTCAAGACCTACTAATGAGCGTGTTGATATTTGTTTAGTCGGTGTCATTAAATCTGACACTAGGTATTTAGTAATGAAATTAACAAGCGGTATCTAATTAAATAACATTTAATGCACGGGTAATAATTCACAGTAGCTATTGACGGGATATGATTGGCTGGTTAGAAAGATATATTGACATTACGTCATATTGTAAGTTGTGACATAATCTCGTAACGTTACACTCTTTACAAAATAAATAAACAACAATTTCTATTAAGATGAAGAACCAAGTCATGAATTTGCTTTTTAAAATTTAAGGCCCGTTGTGAATTATGCAAAACGCGGAGAGTGCCCTATTTCAAAGAATAGAGGGTGAAAATCCGGATATTTTGCTACATGTACTTGGCTAAGGATTTACGTTCGCCTCCACCTGGAGTGATATCGCAGGCAACCGGGATATTAGCATATATATCCGTATTTTTTTAGCGATCACGAGGGAAGCTTTGGAATATAGCATTTAACCGGTGTTCTAAGTTTCAGTTCACGAAAATGTATATACATGTATTTCAATCTTCAAAACTCAGTAAATGCTTATATCTGTGGAACAACAGCTAATACTAACAAAGCATTTTAAAGAGTTTCTTTGCGTAACGACAAAGTTCTCACGTCATAATATCCAGTATCAGCCAGACTTGTGTTTTTAAAAGTAATGTTCTGTTTAATCAACAAACAAATGCATGAAATAACTGTTTATTTTATATATGGGTGTAATTATCATTGACAAACCTGAACCTAGTAACCTTGATTTTTTCTTTGTATTTTAACTTATATATTAATTCATGAATTCATGAATACATAAGAAGTTTGACTAAACGCGGTGAACCTATTCCAGAACAGGTATACAACATGCCCATAGAAATACGGGTATACATAAATACAGGTAGTCGTTTTACGCTGTGAGAGAAATGTACTTTATATGAGAACTTGTATACTACTTGAGTGGGTAGTAGGACTGTGGACAATAGAATTAAGTCTTTACTTCGATTGGCAAATTACAATGCTCTAGGTAACGGTTTTAGCATTTGCGGGGCCCAGTTTGGACCGCTCTTTTTACTTTGAAATGAAATTAAAATAATATCTATTTCTACAAAACTATACTTATTAAGACACCCTAACTTATTAAGTTACCCTGCGGGGGAAGGGTAACTAAGGGGCTTGGGGACCCGCACTGCTGCTCAAGAAATCTTTCCAGAAGACTACATTATATCAGATCATTTTTATAACTCGTTTTGCAATCTTAAATTTGTTATTAAACACACGTGCATGTGTAAGAATGAAGTAATAACAGTGACCTTTGACCTTATACAAATTGAACTGAATGCTCCCATTCATTCTTCCTGTATAATCTTATTAAAATCTGAACATTGCCCAGTAGGTAGCGGTCAGTGGTGGGTCAAACCAAACACTGTCCACTGTGAAATGAAAGAATACTTTGTTATGATTTTGATTTCCCTTAAAATTTATAATTTGTTTTTCAATATCGCCAACATATGGTAGACAGACTAGAAATCCTCTAAAACGCTCTTGGGATTTCTTATCTATCCGCTTTGAATTTATTCTCAGTAGAAAAACCGTTCGTTGTGAATAAGATTAACGAAAATTAAGTCATCCCAGGCAATGCCGGCCGTAGAGTTGCAAAGGGCTAGCAACTTTAAAGTCACCCCAGGCAATGCCGATCATAGGGTTGCTAAGGGCCAGCAACCTAGCAGTTCGTGCGGGCATCCACTGCGCATTTTCCGTTTTTGGACGTAGATGATTGGAACCAAATATCCTTAGTTCTGAGAGTATTGAAATGCATTTATTATTGTCATTTCAGTCATAGGGGTGCGTGGTGGTGGTGAAGGGTGGTGGTTATTAAAATTATTTAATCAGTGGCATTGTGATTTGAGTGATATTTTAATATCTAATTGTATGAACAAATGAATGAATTTACCTGACAAAACAGTCGCATCCGTTACAGTCCTGTTCGGCGGGAATACGTACAAGACATACTGTTACTAGAATCAGCAATACTTCTGATATACTCCCAAACATGTTGATACCACTATACAGTCAACGTTACCAAATACAATAGAAAGTGATGTCCGTCTTAAATATACCTTTTGTAGTAAATGTATTTAAATTTATAGTTTTTGTTACCTGCTACGATTATTGTCTTTTATTGGGTCTTAAATGCACACCACAATACAACGTAGCGGCGTGAACGGGTTGCTGCCAATCATTGACAACAGTCGGGTGTCGTAGTTGTCCTTTATAGAAAGTTTACCGTTACACGGACTACAGGTGCACAAACTCAAACCTTAACACACAATAATAACGGTACACATACAATAACCTCCAAATATAATACAACAGTCTATTATGTTCACAGACCGTAACTGACTTTCAACTTCACTATGGTACAATATATATTATATAGTATCTTGACAGTTTTTACATCGATGTACTACTGATGAACAGATATATCCATTAACAGCCCGACCTAAAGACTTTATATAAGTTGACGATGTTATAAACCTAAACTTCAACAGCATTTAGCTCACGACTTTATAAGCTTAGACTTTATAAGCTCAGTATTATTTAACTCACGACTTTACAAGTTTATAATTTATAAGTTGACGAAGTATGAACTCTGCAAATCGAACCTAATTCAGCTGTACTAATAAGTCTCTGGGTCTATTTCACCTGTATGTTCAGTTTATACCTCTCTAGAATCAGATACTGTTGGTAACAATCTCAAGTTTTTCACAAATAAACCACAGCGAGTAATATACTTCAAATTGTTTTCAATATGTCACACGTACTATAATATATCCAAACCGTTATAACACTGACAGGTAACTAAGGTGTCATCAATGTCCCGTCATCGAATCACTACATAACCGTCGTCCTCGCTGGCAGGTGCGTGTTCGTGTATCGCTATCCAATTTAAAATGATATAACAGCTCTACTTGTTATCCCTTTTATGCCGATAAAATGAACAATAAACTACATAACTGATTGTTTAGTGATCTAGTATTTCTGTGTAAATAAACGTGCATGCACCTAGATCTATATACTGAAAATATAACTACAGTTCACAGCAATCTCTTCGTAGTGTAGCAACTCAGCTATTTCATTGGTGGAAGGAAAATCATCCACGCGTGGACGGCCATCAGCAAGTGCGCGAGGCACAGGTCCGGCTTAAGACTAGACTTGTTTGTCAAGACTAGTCGTGTGCGGTTGAAGCTGCCTTGAATATCTAAATTGCGCTGAGATTTCTTCAATACAATAGTTGATATTTTTAACATTTACTTGAGAACATTTGATTTCTAAATTTGAGTGTCACATTAGTTGTGACAGAAAAAACTATTTCAATATGTCCTCATCAACATTGTATACGTTTGTGTTTACTTTACTTGAGAAACGAGTCTTTATCGGCACGGGTGACCCATCCCCCCAGATAACAACGGAGTAAATTTTCTCGAATATTTTGTCTTTTGTCTCACCTCATTTCAAGGTATCGCCTGTCTTGTTGTCAATGACTATTGCAATTAAAGGTAAAAGATGAATTATCTTCAATGTACATACACTCTATATGATGTAAAGATAGACCGTGTATAATGTAAATGGCTTTTAGAATAGGTGATCGAGCAGAACAAGAACGCAGCAAATTTTTATTTTATCTATAACCAGACTATGTCGCTTCACCTAAATGACAATCCATCCTACCCCCATCCAAAGATCCAAATCATGAGGCATTGGCGAAAATATGAAATAGAAAAAGGAATTTCTAGGCTAAGGAAACCATTGAGGAATTTCTAAATGTTCCTTTTTGTATTCACATTCAAACAAGTATTTTCTTAGAAATAAAAGAAATAGCCGCAATGACTTTCGGTCGCGCCAACGATAACGGCAACCACAGGATTTGTCAATGCCACATGCAGCACCTTAAAATTTGTTTCAGTTCTAAGATTACTAATAAAAATTTTAATTTGTTTCTACGGACATGATTCAAAGTGCAAAATGGTTTTATACGTTCATGTAACGTGCGTGGATAATTGTAATCCCGATCGGTGTTATTAACACAGCCTATCTCTCAACAAAAGGTGCTTCAATCATCACCCCAACAACTCCATTCCCTAATAGCTGTGAACCTATCAGTCCAATGTCTATAACCTGTTAATGAACAAGCTTCTTTTCAGATTCAGCCTGTTACATTTTACACGGTCTATCTAAAATCTCTGACTTTCGACTGATTTAGGGATAAGCTAGTTAAGTCTAATCTTTAAAATACATGGTCAGAAGCAATGACGAGTGTTGACTTTTAACACTGAAGAAAACCTAAACTGTATAATGCACGTGGTCTTGACTATCACCCCCCCCCCCCTAAAAAAAAACCAAAGGAGAGTTTAATGTTATCTTTAAAAATGGTATTATTGTAAATTAATAACATCTATTTTCTTGTGGAATATGCATCTTTAGATACAATATCATACCCAGTTGGACGTTATTTATATAGAATATAATAGTAATGAAGTTTCAATCTTTTAAGATTGTTATTTTCGATTTTTATGCACCGTAATGTCATCCCCAGTAACTAATCCTTTCTTAATCATATTAACATGCTATTCACTGTCATACGAGTTCAGTTCTGTATCACTGTTTAGATCTCCAAACACATACAAAATGAATATTGACTGAAATCCCATTCTAAAGAAAAAGTAGAAAATATCAATTGTCACCCCGGACAGAAATGATAACATAAGCCCCTTTTTGCCCGTGGGTCCGATCGACTATTAACTAATGCCTAATTTTCACAGAAAATCAGGAGAGGTGTTAAAATAACTTAACGGTTTTAGCTTTAAAATGTTGTTTTAGCTGTCTTTGTTTCGATGATTGATTCGGAGAAGAGGTTTTATCGTCGAAGTGGTACACGTATTTTAGCATATCTTTGAGGTAAGAATTGTGTTTTCCTAACGAATTAGTTAATCACCTTTTCACGCTGTTACCATAAAATATATTTTGTCTTTAATTAAATATTTGTAGCAGATTTAGATTTGTACAAATCTGAACATAATAGTTCAAAGTTCTTATGCTGCTGTTTTTACGTGGTTAAAAGGAGTAACTAATTGGTCTAGAACATCGTTGTATGGACTTCAAAGTTAAGTCACCGCCAATGACCAATGGCTTCATATTTTGTAGGGTTTGTTAGCATTTTAAGTTCAGCATTAATACAAAAAGACCATTAGCTTTTTGCAAGTTAGACGATTCGACTATCATGGATGGTTTATTAGCAAAGGAAGCATAAAATAAAAATTGAATGATTATATTAGCGTTAGATCACGAACGTGCTCGGAGAATTCAACTAATTCCACATGTCAAACTGGAATAGTCATGATTCATTTGCTTTTTGTTGGACAAAGAATAGATTTTAAAGTTCTAACCCCATCTTACCAATGCTGGCTACTTATGTAATAATATATTCATAAATGTGACAGTCCATAGTGCGGCGTCCATAGCCCGTCACCCGCGAGCGCAACAGGCGCGAACCGCGCCGGCGGGGATTGAGGGAGTCAATGCCCTTTGGTAGATTCTAACGAATAGGCCTATCTTGGGTAAAAAAAACTCATGTTTGCTATCTTGAAAGAAGCCCTCTTTCTAGCGGAGACTTTCCACCCATTAAAGTGCAGTACGAGACCAAAATTCGTCGATTTTTGTCAATAAAGTACGTTGAAAAACTTTGAATTTGAAAGCGAAAGTATTTAACAGATGATGGCATTTAGTAATTGAATTGGAATATACAGGTCACAGTTCTGTGGAATACAATTACTGCTTATTACTGAGCGACGTTTCGACTTGGCTTCTCTAGTTGTTATCAAGCAGTGATAAAATATGAAATATAACAATACATGTATATTTAATTGTATAGTAAGCAGTAATTGTATTCCAAAGAATTGTGACCTGTATATAAATGCCATGAACATACTGAGTCTAACTGGGGCCTACCCTATTGCTGGAGAAGAAAACCTACACAGGCCGGTGCTATCCAGGGGCGGATCCAGGAGTTTTAATTTTTGCAGGAGATAGGGGTTTGCCAGGTTCCTGAGACAATGTATCTCCCCGCCTTCCCCTCGCCAAGCCTCAAATTTGTGTTGAGAAATACATGGTCTCTATCGTCATTTTGGCGTATATATATATACATATTGAGCTTTTTAAACAGAGAAATACAACATCCCGTTTGGCGTCAATTTTTATTATGAATTAATGCGATGACATTGTTAATAGTGGGAGGAAACCCGGGGACCCATATTAGACACACGAGTTTGGACAGGCGACCCTGTCCCTTTTCACGTAGCGGGGATGCGAAACCACGCCACTTTACTCAATGACAAAGCTTATGATACAACGCGCACGTTTTACCCATTCGGCAACCGCCCCCCCCCCTTCTAAACTATTTGGTAATCATTTGTATATAACGCAAATATAAACGGTCCATCTTCCAGCATCTTCAAACAACAACTTGAAACCTACCTCTTTCAATGTTCATATTCATAAGCTATTTTCTAGAACTTGTGTCAATTTCTTTGTCATACAATACTGTTTGGAACCCATATTGTGTGCATTATTATTATTTATTAAAAGAATAACAACGTGGCCATCTGTGCGTAAATTCTCGTATATCATATCCAATACAGGATAGTGATATTGATAAGAGATTTCAAACCAAACTGAAGCCAAACACGTTGTGGCAAGTCATTGAAAATAGAAACAAACAACACAGTCTTGTCATTATCGTAAATTAGATGTTTAAATTATCTTTTGTCGTTTATCGTCATCTTGTAGTTCATTTATTTATCTTTTAATATGAACAAAGTACGACTTATATCATTGTCAAATCAAGACCCCCTACTGTTCTATCTATATGGTTTAGATAAAACAAAGATTATTAAACCAGAATAACAGAGAGAGAGAGAGAGAGAGAGAGAGAGAGAGAGAGAGATGGTTTTAACGTCCTCTCGACACAAACTAGTTCATTTCGGGACTAACACATGGTTCAGTTTTATTTCAAAAATTCGCTTACGCGGAAAGGTCTTTAGCGGTGGGAGGAAACCGGGGGACCCGGAGAAAACCCACGAGGTTGGACAGGTGACCCTACTCATTGTCACGTACAACCGGGTAAAGGAAAACACGCCAGTTGACTCAATGACAGACCCTATGATACAGTGCGCACGTGCTAACCATTCGGCCATCCAACCCCCCACATAAGAATTATATATACTGCATAAAGATCATACACAACCAAAAGCACTTTTATTGAAAACACCATTTTGACCCAAATATCATTAAAATTGATCAATTCTAACTGAAGTTATGTAAATTTAAAGTTTACATTGGTTTCTATTGATGCCAAACATCTATCTTTATGTGTCTTTGACAAATACAGTAATGATAATTCTGATATATATATAATATAATAGTCAGACTGTTCATCACGATTATTTAAGTCCTGATGTGGCATTTTAAGCAACCACTACAATATTGTAATAGGTGAATCTCTAATAGGAATACCAGTCCAAAAATGGTTAATTCTGTTGAGTAGTTACAAAGATATGGGGAATTGAAATTTCATCGACCTATAGTGCTCGCTATGCAATTCATTTTTGTCCACGAAACGTTAATGATAGGCCTGTTTTAAACCCGGTTGAATCAAGCCGGGATATTATCTATCGTTGGTATTTTAATTTCTTACTTAATGTTATAGATACATTATGGGAGATTCGATAACGAGTTGACAGTTCTCACTATAATAATTAAAACCTAGATAACGTAAAGCCAATTTGCTGAAAGTTTCATTCAAATTGATCCACTATGAACCGAGAACTAAGCGAATAAAATTTCTGCCTAGCCTCGGTCATCATTACTAAAGTCAGTACGTTAAACAGCATAGTCTCGAATATCCATTTAATCGTTTAATCGAGAAGGAAAGTTATGCAGTAAATCGGATCACAATCCACTTAAGATCGCAGGCTAGCGATGCCATCTAGAGTTGATTATGGTCTGGATAAGTTAATTAAAGATACATTGTGGGAGATTCGATAAGGAGTTGGCAGGTCTCACTATAATAATTAAAAACTAGATAACGTAAAGGTAATTTGCTGAAAATTTCATTCAAATTGATCCACTATGAATCGAGATCTAAGCGAA